AGTGCTCTCCCTACATCCCAAGTGTTTTGATCAGAGTATCAAACACGGAATTTCGTCTTTTATTTCTTTTCTAAAATTAACAGAATACGAAAATTGTAAAGAATTCTGACTTTTGATACGATATGAAACGATGAATTCTCCTTACATTGCAGTTGTCTGCAGCTTCTGTAGCTTCTAAAATGTTTGATAGCTCTTCTTCTAGGATATCCTCCCAGAGGACATCATAAATAGGCATTTCTTCATTCATTGTTCTTGAAAACGAATGATAACAACAACAAATGCAAACGTCGGGAAAAAAGAAATTTTTGACGCGCGCGAGCGTGTTTTGATACTGTAATCAAACATGGTTTTCGACCAATCACAGCGCGCATAGTATCCTAAATATTTTAGAAATGTAATTATTATATAGATGATTTCTAACGCGCGCTCTGAATGGCTGATCGCTTTCAGCTCGTGCTTCTTGACATTTTCTCGTGTGTTTCAAATACCAAGCGTGCGTTTATTTATGGGTTAGAGACTGAAATGAGTGGTTTGTTTAAAAATACACACACGCGCTGGCTGTGAAATGAGCGAAAAATTGTCAATACTGCACGAAGCGAAGCTGAGTGCAGTATTGACAATTTCGAGTTCAATTTGTAAACAAACCACAAATTTTCAGTCTCTAACCCTTTTAATATTCAATCCGGCTGAGTTCAATGAAATACAAAACCTTTTAATACAGAAGAAAAGGTTAATGTTAAACGAATTTACATCACGTAATAATGATAACGGCGAATCTCCTCCAAAGATGCTGCTTTCGTAGCACTTCTTGATGTCCTCTGGTTGAATGGTCGGATGATGTTTTACTTTTGACGAGCCGCTCTCTTTGATTTTCTTTACTTTTGCATTCAAAGACATATTAGTCGTCTTGAAAATAGGATCCGTGATTATCGAAAAGGTCTTTCCGACTTTCTCTGATGTCAGGAAGCAGTTTATTGCAGCTCTAATAGAGACGTGAGCAGAGCGACTGTAGTCTTTCCCCGTTCGTTTTTCAACTCTTGATAGAACTTTGCGAGTCGTTCAGCTAGTTTTTCTTTTTCCAATATTTCTAATTACTTGGGTACCTCAACTGCAACCATTCTAAATTAAAAATAGGTAAATACAAACATTTAACAATAGTTTCAAACAAAATAGTTCATTATTTCAATTCAGAATTGACATTTTAGTTCGACAAAGCTACAAACACAGTCAAGTGAACGTGTGTTTTAAAATAAACAACAGTTAAGTCAGAGTAAAACATAATATTATTGAATTTTATATCTCTAGTATTACCTTTAAAAACACCAACACCCCATGTTGTCAATCGCTTTGTATTAGCTAGATCTATAATCTTTGAAATGTCATCTTCTTCAACACTTGCAAACCTACCAGAGTCGGTCATTTTGATGACAGCTGCTGTGTGATAGCATGATGTATTCTCATTAGTGCACGGTCCCTAGGTGTTGACGTGACGTATCGCACAATCACGTGATTGATTTAACCCAATCGCGCGCATGGATTTAGTACATTGAATGAAGATTGAATACAGTATAAACCACGGCTGTGCCTTATTAGTCGGGCTAGCCATAGGCTAGGCCGACTTTAGTTTTACCTTTTTGCCAATCTATCTGTGTGTCATGTCGCGTTTGGAACACCGGAAGTTCAATCCGCAACCTTCCTGTCATGTGATATTCTTTCTAACCGGAAATCAGACAACTCCAACTGGGATCCCTGAGTCATTGCGTCACACATGACGTCATGATATTTATTAATTTAACATACGTCATATGTAAGTCTACCTCCGAGTCTGCGGCATATCATCGTATACTACTACTTTTTGCTTGACTTATATACTAATAAATTTGCTTGTTAAGAACCATGTGGGACGACGTGTGCTTTATGTAACTGAATACAACATAAGCGCATGCTCAGAGTACTAAATCTCCCATCCAATCACACATTTTTGCAGCTACCAGGGCATAGGTAGCCCTGTCAAATACCATAATAATCAGGCAATCACGTGCATACCTACAAAGTAACCTGGCAGCTAAAATTACCCATAATTTCCTGGTTGGATAGCACAGGAATACCAAGATCACATGGTCAATCATATTATCCATAATGCTTTACTTTACTTGTCTTATGGTGCTGTGCTTGTGCTATAGTACGTTTGCTCGACGTTTCTTCACAGGCAGCCCAAGCTAAGCATTTAACTAGCAGATTATAGCAATATCTATAATGCATGTAAATACTAAATTTTTGAAAGAAAAGATGAGTAAAAAACATTTGTCTTACCTTATGATGTGGTCTTAGTTATGAATTAGGCGTAATTTGCCGTTTTTCTTTGATATCTCCCCTCCTTTACTTATATCACTGAAAGGCAGGACACACCGGCTCGAAAAAGTCCAATCGTCAAATCACTTTTTCATCAAAAAATGCATCTTTTTTGTCCAAATTGAACCGAAAATCCACGCCATAGCCACCACCAACTGTTTTTCCAACTCCTGTGTAAATCTCAATGTCAAAGAAAAACGTTCAACGGAGATTAAGAGTGATTTAGATCGTTTTTCGGTTTCTTTCGGTGAATCCCGCAAGCCGTTGTCCCCTACTCCACCGCCAAACGTAGCCAGAACCTCGGTTTGGCGAGGACATTTTAATACGCACCACTGGATGGTTCGTCACTGGTCGGGAGATCAGAAGAACTTAACTAGTTTTGTCACGAACCATCCAGTGGTGCGTATTAAAATGTCCTCGCCAAACCGAGGTTCTGGCTACGTTTGGCGGTGGAGTAGGGGACAACGGCTTGCGGGATTCACCGAAAGAGACCGAAAAACGATCTAAATCACTCTTAATCTCCGTTGAACGTTTTTCTTTGACATTGAGATTTACACAGGAGTTGGAAAAAC